GAAGATAAAAACTACAATTCGTGAGCGGCTGGATTCAAATCTGCACGAGTAGAGCCCACATGATTTCTAGTCATGCCCGATAAGCTCACATGACCACTCCGGCACGCCCACTGATTGAAAAGCATAATATTCAATCTGTGTGAGCAGAGCCCACATGATTTCTAGTCATGCTCGATAAGCCCACTTGATTTCTAGTCATGCCCGATAATCACTCCGGCACGCCCAATGATTGAAAAGCACAATAAGTGCATTCAAACCTACGCGGGCACATGATTTCTAGTCATACCCGATAACCACTCCGGCACACCCAATGATTGAAAAACACAATAAGTCGAAGTTGTGAGCAATAAGATTCGAGATTTCTAGTCATGCCCGATAACCATTCCGTCATGCCCACTATATGAAAAGAAGCTTAAAAAAATACAAGTCGTGAGCGGCAAGATTCAAACCTCCGCAGGTAGAGTAGAGCCCACATGATTTTTAGTCATTCCCAATAACCACTCTGGCACACCCACTTATTGAAAAGCACAACAGAGCACAACAATAAGTCAAAGTTGTGAGCAATAAGATTCGAAATAGCTTAAAGAAGGATTCGAGATTTCTAGTCGTGAGCGCTTTCTATTCATGACGTGTTAATGAAAAGAAGATAAAAACTACAATTCGTGAGCGGCTGGATTCAAATCTGCACGAGTAGAGCCCACATGATTTCTAGTCATGCCCGATAAGCTCACATGACCACTCCGGCACGCCCACTGATTGAAAAGCATAATATTCAATCTGTGTGAACAGAGCCCACATGATTTCTAGTCATGCTCGATAAGCCCACTTGATTTCTAGTCATGCCCGATAATCACTCCGGCACGCCCAATGATTGAAAAGCACAATAAGTGCATTCAAACCTACGCGGGCACATGATTTCTAGTCATACCCGATAACCACTCCGGCACACCCAATGATTGAAAAACACAATAAGTCGAAGTCGTGAGCAATAAGATTCGAGATTTCTAGTCATGCCCGATAACCATTCCGTCATGCCCACTATATGAAAAGAAGCTTAAAAAAATACAAGTCGCAAGTGGCAAGATTCAAACCTCCGCAGGTAGAGTAGAGCCCACATGATTTCTAGTCATTCCCAATAACCACTCTGGCACACCCACTTATTGAAAAGCACAACAGAGCACAACAATAAGTCAAAGTTGTGAGCAATAGGATTCGAAATAGCTTAAAGAAAATACATTTCGTGAGCGGCACAACAGGATTTGAACCTGCACGGGCAAAGCCCACATGATTTCTAATCATGCCCATGATAACCACTCCAACACACCCACTAATTGAAAAGTACTTGGCAAAGCCCACATGATTTCTAGTCATGCCCGATAACCACTTCGGCACGCCCACTAATTGAAAAGTACAATAAGTCGCCGTGAGCAATAGAATTCGAGATTTCTAGTCATGCCTGATAACCATTCTCTCATGCCCACTATTTGAAAACAAGCTTAAAAAAAAGAATCATACAAATCATGAGTGGCAGGATTCTTTTAAACTTCTAGTCATGCCCGATAACCACTCCGACACACCAGCTGAAAAGTACAATAAATCAAAGTTGTGAGCAGTAAGATTCGAACCTGTACAAACAAAGCCCACATAATTTCTAATCATGCCCAATAACCACTCTAACACGCCCACTGATTGAAAAGTACAATAAATCGAAGTCATGAGAAATAGGATTCGAGATTTCTATTCATGCCCGATAACCTCTCTCATGCGCACTATCTGAAAAGAAGCTTAAAAAAGAATACAAATCATGAGCGGCAGGATTCGAACCTGCGGGCAGAGCCCACATGATTTCTAATCAAACCCGATAATCACTCTGACACGCCCACTGATTAAAAAGCATAATAAGTCGAAGTTGTGAGCAGTAGGATTCGAGATTTCTAGTCATTTAGTACCTACGCGGGCAGAGCCCACATGGTTTCTAGTCATGCCCTCTTAATGAAAAGAAGATAAAAAAAAAACACAATTCATGAGCAACAGGATTCAAACCTGTGCGGGTAGAGACCACAAGATTTCTAGTCATGCCAGATAACCACTCTAGCGCACCCACTGATTGAAGAGAAGTTGGGAGCAGTAGGATTCGAGATTTCTAATCATGCCCGATAACCATTCCATCACGCCCACTATATAAAATATAAATTGTAAGCGTCAGGATTCGAACCTGTATGAGTAGGCAGAGCCCAGGATTCGAGATTTCTAATCATGCCTGATAACCATTCTGTCGCGCCCACTATACAAAATATAAATTGTAAGCGTCAAGATTCAAACCTGCACAAGCAGGCAGAGCCCATATGATTTCTAGTCATGTCTAATAACCACTCCAACACACCCACTGATTGATAGATACAACAAGTCGAAGTTGTGAACAGTAGGATTCGAGATTTCTCTATTCATGCGCTCTTAATGAAAGAAGATTAAAAAAATATACAATTCAGGATTCAAACCTACGGGCAGAGCCCACATGAATTTTAGTCATACCCGATAACCATCGGGCACACACATTGATTGAAATGCATAATACGTCGAAGTTGTGAGTATGATTCGAGACTTCTAGTCATGCCCACTATATGTAAAGAAGCTTAAAAAAATACAAGTTGTGAGCGGTAGGATTCAAACCTGCGCAGGTAGAGCCCACATGATTTCTAGTCATACTTGATAACCACTCTGACACACCCACTGATTGAAAATACAACAAGCTGAAGTTGTGAGCAGTAAGATTCGAACTTGCGCGGGCAGAGTGTCACGGTCCTACCTTCTTGACCGTGCGGCGTCGCGATCTATACACGATCACGACTAGCCTTAAGGGGAATTAAGCCCCATATGTATTTTTTGCCCCGGCTTTGTGGCTTCGTCGGACCTTAGGCGAGGTTTGTCTTCGCCAATCGAACATCGCTTGTGCGGAATCCAAGCTTGTTCAACCACATACGTCGTCTGTGCGTGTATGTTCAATCATCTGCCACACATCCGACTTGCCTCTACGCTAGACCAACTCATTCGGCTCGACCTTGCCTCTACTCGGGCCAAGGTCTCTCAATATAACATCGCATCTCATCTTGTCATCTCGATCCCCATCGATAGGGTCCATATGTCTTGGTGCCATCCCAAGTCTCGAGATGTCGTCGGCCATCATAACTCATTCGGTCATGCCATCGAGAATGGGCCTGCGTGTCGTTCATCTCATTGGGACTTCCCGACCATCTATCCATCTGGGTTCTATCGAGGCATAGGCCCTCCCGTGCCCATGTCGAGTCATTTACGGATACCGTCTCGAATAGCGGGTGTATGTAGCAACCTCCAACACGCGGGCTAGGGCGCAATACCGGCACGCCCGTGTCGTCCGGTACTGTCCTTCAAAAACCCATTTCAAAGGAAGTCGCCAGAGACACTCGTCTCGACACGCTCACCCACACTGTGACACACGTATGTGCCACTGGGTAGCTCACTTAGGCCACAGGGCCCAGAGGTGGTGGAGAGCTAAAACCATGGTACCCCCTTCAGTACATTTTGAGCCATTTTCATTCTACCAGGTGTAGACATGATTTTGGTGAGGTGTCATACGGTGTCGTGCATTGTCCGTCCAATGTCCGATTGACACCAAACTTGGCGAGCATTCATATTTCATATGGACGGACTTAACTCCCGAACCGCATGCCCAAATTCCTTCCAAAACCCCGACTTTTGAGATTAAGGCCCGGGGCCCTACCTGGCCCTTTAACAAGCCTATCTTGTCCTTCATGTCTATGCTGATGTCTCTGTTATGCTTATGACTCAACATATATCTTCAATACCCACTTTGCGTGGTGGTGTGTTGGATGATGCATCGTCCTCCTCGATCGCATCATGGCATTCTTCTATGTTGGCTCGCATATGGCCGGATGGGGCGTCTCTTGAGGGACGCCCCTTTACTTGTCATGGCGTGAGGGTCACAACCTACTCTCTTCATACTATGGTTGTGACACAGAGCCCACATGATTTCAAGTCATGCCCGATAACCACTCTGGCACACCCACTGATTGAATAGTACAACAAGTCGAAGTTTGGAGCGGTAGAATTCAAGATTTCTAGTTGTGGGCGCTTTCTATTCATGCCGTCTTAATGAAAAGAAGATAAAAAAAATGGGAAGAAGCTTAAAAAAAAATCATGTCGTGAGCGGCAGGATTCGAACCTGCGCGGGCATACCCCACATGATTTGAGCAGGATTCGAGATTTCTAGTTGTGCGCGCAAGAAGATTAAAAAATTATAATTTGTGAGCGGCAAGATTCGAACCAACACGAGAAAAGCCCACATGATTTCAAGTCATGCCCAATAGCCACTCCAACACGCCCACTGAGTAAAGAGTATAAGTCGAAATTTTGAGTAGTAGGATTCGAGATTTCTAGTCGTACATGCTTTCTATCATGCCCTCTTAATGAAAAGAATATTACAATTCGTGAACGGTAAGATTCGAACCTGCGCGGGTAAAGCCCATTGATTGGGCTGGGCAGATTCAAGATTTCTAGTCATGAACGCTTTCTATTCATGCAAAATAATACAATTTATGAGTGGCAGAATTCGAACCTGCGCGAGCAAAACCCACACGATTTCTAGCCATGCATGATAACCACTCCGACACGCCCACTGATTGAAAAGCACAATAAATCAAAGTTGTGAGCAATAGGATTTGTAGGGTTCGAGATTTCTTGTCATGCCCGATAACCATTTCGTCACGCCCACTATATAAAAAGAAACTTAAAAAAATACATGTCGTGAGCGGCAAAAGATTCGAATTTGCACAGACAAAGCACACATGATTTCTAGTCATGCACAATAACCACTCAAGCACGCCCACTAATTGAAAAGAACAATAAGTCGAAGTCGTGAGCAGTAGGATTCGAGATTTCTAGTCATGCCCGATAACCATTCCAACACGCCCACTATATGAACATAAGCTTAATAAGAAACAAGTCATTAGTGGTAGGATTCGAACCTACAAGCAGAGCCCACATGATTTCTAGTCATGCCCAATAACCACTCTGGCACGCCAACTGATGATTGTAAAGTACAACAAGTCGAAGTTGTGAGCAGTAGGATTCGAGATTTCTAGTTGTGAGCACTCTATTCATACCCTCTTAATGAAAAGAAGATAAAAAAAAATACAATTCGTGAGCGGCAAGATTCAAACCTACGCAGGCAGAGCTCACATGATTTCTAGTCATGCTGATAACCACTTCGACACGACCACGGATTGAAAAGCATAATAAGTTGAAGTCATAAGTAGTAGGATTCAAGACTTCTAGTCATGCCCGATAACCATTCCGTCACGCCCACTATATGAAAAGAAGCTTAAAAAAATACAAGTCGTAAGCATTCGAACCTATGGGCACATGATTTCTAGTCGTGCCCTCTTAATGAAAAGAAGATAAAAAAAATACGAATCATGAGAAGCAGGATTGGGCAAAGTTCACATGATTTCTAGTCATTCCTGATAACCAAGCCGGCACGCCCACTGATTGAAAATCTATAAGTCGAAGTCATGAGTAGTAGGACTTGAGATTTCTAGTCATGAAAAGAAGATAAAAAAATAATACAAGTGAGCGGCGGGATTCAAACCTACACTGGTAAAACATACATGATTTCTATGTCATGCCCAATAACCACTCCGACATGCCCACTAACTGAAAAGTATGATAAGTCAAATTCATGAGTAGTAGGATTCGAGATTTATAGTCATGCCAACTAAATGAAAAGAAGATAAAAAAATAATACAAGTCGTGAGCCACAGGATTCGAACCTATCGCGACCAGAATGTCACAATCTGCAATATGATTGTGACCCGAGTAAGTCATCGAGGATGATGACTAAGTTAAGTGGGGGAGAATCTCACAACCATACTATGAAGAGAGTAGGCTGTGACCCTCACGCCATGACAAGCAAAGTGGCATCCCTCAAGAGGCGCTCATCCGGCCATATGTGGACCAATATAAAAGAGTGACATGATGCGATTGAGGAGAACGATGCATCATCCAACACACCACCACGCAAAGTGGGCAATGAAGACAAATTGAGACATAAGCAAGACAGAGACATCACAATAGACATGAAGGACAAAGATAGGCTTGTTGAAGGGCCAAGTAGGGCCCCGAGCCTTAACCTCAAAAGTTGAAGTTTTGAAAGGAATTTGGGCATGCGGTTCGGTAGTTAAGTCCGTCCATATGAAATATGAATGCTCGCCAAGTTTGATGTCAATCAGACACCGGACAGACAATGCACGACACCGTATGACCGTTCACCAAAATCATGTCTACACCAGGTAGAATGAAAATGGCTCAAAATGTACCATGGTGTTAGCTCTCCACCACCCCTGGGTCTTGTGGCCTAAGTGAGCTACCATGTGGCACATACATGTGTCACAGTGTGGGCGAGCATGCCGAGACGAATGTCTCGGGCAACTTCCTTTGAAATAGATTTTTGAAGGACAGTACCGGACTACACGGGTGTGCCAATATTGTGCCCTAGCCCGCGTGTTGGAGGTTGCTACATACACCCGCTATCTAGTATGGTATCCGTAAATGACTCAGCATGGGCACGGGATGGCCTATGCCTCGATAGAACCCAGATGGATGGATGTTTGGGAAGTCCCGATGAGATGAACGACACGCGGGCCCATTCTCGAGGGCATGACCGAACGAGTTATGATGGTCGACGATACTCCGAGACTCGGGATGGCATCAAGACATATGGACCCTGTCGATGGGGATCGAGATAGCAAGATGAGATGCGACGTTGCATTAAGAGACCTTGGCCCGAGCAGAGCCAATGTTGAGCCGAATGACTTGGCCTAGCATAGAGGCAAGTCGAATGGGTCGCAAACGATTGAACATGCATGCGCAGGCGGCATGTGTGGTTGAACAAGCTTGGATTTCGCACAAGCGATGTTCGATTGATGAAGACAAACCTCGCCTAAGGTCCAACGAAGCCACAAAGCCGGGACGAAAAATATATATGGGCTTAATCCCCCTCAAGGCTAGTCGTGAGGTAGTCAAGATCACGACGTCGCACGGTAAAAAATGTAGGACCATGACACAGAGCCCACATGATTTCTAGTCATGCTCAATAACCACTCCAGCACGCCCACTGATTGAAAAGCACAATAAGTCGAAGTCATGAGTATAGGATTCGAGATTTCTAGTCATGCCCAGAACCTTAAAATAGTACAAACCGTGAGCGGCAGGATACAAACCTACGCGGGCAGAGCCCACATGATTTCTAGTCATGCCTGATAACCACTCCGGGACGCTCACTAATTGAAAACTACAATAAGTCGAAGTCATGAGCAGTAGGATTCAGGATTTCTAGTCGAAGCTTAAAAAAATACAAGTCGTGGCAGGATTCAAACCTGGTGGGCAGAGCCCACATGATTTCTAGTCATACCTGATAACCAGCACACAACCACGCAACCATTCAGCCATGCCCACTAAATGATGAAAAGAATATAAAAAAAAATTGAAGTTGTGAGTGGCAAGATTCGAACCTGCCGGCCGCCCGATAACCATAGGATTAAAACCTGCGCGGGCAGAGACCACATGATTTCTAATCATTCTCGATAACCACTACGGCATGCAACCATTCAGCCATGCCCATTAAATGATGAAAAGAAGATAAAAAAATCCAAGTCGTGAGCAGCAGGGTTCAAACCTGCGGGCAGAGCCCACATGATTTCTAGTCATGTCTGATAACCACTATGACACGGAACCATTAAGCCATGCCCACTAAATGATGAAAAGAAGATAAAAAAATCCAGGATTCGAACGGCAGGGAGAGCCCACATGATTTCTAATATCTACCTACATGATTTCTAGTCATGCCCAATAACCACTTTTGCATGCCCACCTATTCAAAAGAATAACAAGTCGAAATCGTGAGCAATAGGATTCAAGATTTCTAGTCGTTAACGCTTTCTAGTCATGCCCACTAAATGAAAAGAAGCTTAAAAAAATATAACTCGTGAGCAGCAAGATTCGTACCTCCACAGGCAAAGCCCACATGATTTCATGCCCGATAACCACTCCGACTGAATGAAAAGCACAACAAGTCAAAGTCATGAGCAGTAGGATTTGAGATTTCTAGTTATGCCCGATAACAATTCTGCCACGCCCACTAAATGAAAATGAGCTAAAAAAAAAATATAAGTCGTGAGTGGCAAGATTCTAACCTATGAGGGGCAAAGCCCACATGATTTCTAGTCATGTCCGATAACAACTCAAGCACAACAAGTCGAAGTCATGAGTAGTAGGATTCGAGATTTCTAGTCATGTTTGATAACCATTCCGCCACGCCACGACACGATAGAATTCAAACCTGCAGGACAAAGCCCACATGATTTTTAATCATGTTCGATAACCACTCCGACACGCCCACTGAATTAAAAGCAGAACATGTCAAAGTCCTGAGTAGTAGGATTCAAGATTTTTAGTCATGCTAGATAACCATTTCGTATGCCCGATAACCATTGTCACTCCCACTAAATGAAAAAAAAAAAAGCTAAAAAAAAAAAATAATTTGTGAGCGACAGGATTCGAATTTGTCCACATAATTTCTAGTGATGCCTAATAATCACTCTGACACACCCACTCAAAGAAAAACACCTTTCTAGGCATGCATGATAACCGGGGCACACCACTGAATAAAAAGACCATGCACACCACTGAATAAAAAGCTCAGTCCAATTCATGAGCACGAGAATTTGTCACGCCCACTAAATGAAAAGGAGCTAAAATAAATACAAGTCAAGAGCAACAAGATTCAACCTGCGCAAGAATCTGATTAAGTAAATTTTGTGCAAAAGAGAAAGTGCAACAAGATTCACTCCCACTAAATGAAAAGGAGCTAAAATAAATACAAGTCAAGAGCAACAAGATTCGAACCTGCACAAGAATCTTATTAAGTAAATTTTGTGCAAAAGAGAAGTGCAACAAGATTCAAACTTGAACCCGCATGATTTCTAGTCATGCCCGATAACGACTCTAGTGCACCCAAATAATCACTCTAGCATGCCGATTGAATGAATAGAACTAAAATATACTTTTAACTTTAAATGTAGATTTTTGTGCAAAACAAATCGGCATGTATTTTTGTGCAAAACAAATTGTGAGTAGCATGATTCAAACCTACACGAGCAAAGCCCACGTGATTTCTAGTCATACCCGGTAACTATTCCGACATGCCCATTGAATGAAAAAAACTAAAATATAATTTTATTTTTAATGTATAATAAATTTTTGTGCAAAACAAGTTGTGAGCGGCATAATTCACCCCATAACCACTCTGACACACTAAATGAAAAGAAGCTAAAATATAGAGTGATCGGATTCGAACCCGTGTGCCACGGCACACCCAAATCCCCGCCCCATGTACACATATATATTAAAAAAAAATAGTTAATTTTAAGATTCTAATTTTAATATTTAAATTAAAATTATATTATAATATTCAAACTTGAATTTTAAAAATTATATTAGGAAATATATTGATTTATTAAGATTTCTTTACCATTTTTTAATAAATATTATATTAAAAATGAAAATTTTAAAATAATTGTTTTAAAAAAATAAATAAATAATTATCATGGAACTCATTTCCTACAAATTCTTCGAGCGGTATCTACGCTCCGATCCCTGCAGAAGTAAATGAGAGAATTTCGCAAGGATAAAAAATAAAATAGGTGGTGGGAATGGGAACTAGAAGCTTCTTGTCCACAGAGAACCCCGCCCCATGGACATCTCTAAGCATGGCTCTGACACAAGAGAATCGACATGTATATAAGATTATGTAAGCAAGTACATGTTTGTTATGTTAGGTTGTCTTACGATATACGTGCTAAGATATGATATGTAAGAATGTCAACATGAAAGACAGATATATAAGCCTAAGCTTATAATAATTATAATACTACTAATAATAATTAGGGGCGTATATGGTCCGGGTTCGAAGATTTTTTTGACCCAACCCAAAAGTTCAGGTTGGTTGGATTGGTACCCAACCCAACC